TTAATTGCTTATTTTTGAACTTACGGAACATATATCAAGAAACATCCAGTAAGTTACAGTGCAAAAGAGAAAAACCCATACTATATATGAATAACTGACAGTTACAAGCTATTCTCTTATCTTCCTATTGTCAAAATGTAAGAAATAATTTTCCTCTTTTCCATTATATAAAGACGTGCTTTGTATTGCTGGTCCAGTAAGGAAAATAAGTATTCTAAACTACTGATTCACTTTTGCCATATTTCTCTCTGTTGCCTTGGTTAGAGGAGGTGCTAAGGTCAAGTTAACTGCGGCCAGTGAATCTGAGGCTCTTGGTCCAGGTAAGTTAGCTGGCCTGGCCAAGACCAAACACAACCTTGGATCAGGAACACCATGCTATGACAGCTGCTCAGCCAAGCTGGGCTAAGTGTTAGTTACCCTAGGGACAGGCTAACCCCAGAGCACCACAGCTCCAGTGTACTGGCTGTAACAAAGTCCACGTTTTTCTAAAGTGGGGTCCAGATAGCAACTGTCAAGACTTTCCTGACCTTACAGAAAAGCTTCCTCACTACCTGAATATACCACTGGATATCATTTCTACCACAGTTGAAAATTGTTACTACTTTAATTAGTAACTCCTACCCAAATAAAATCCAAATTCTTGCACATAGGAGATGCCCAATAGGTACTACTACTGGATTAACTACTACTGGAGGGGGAAAGCATGAAGTAGTGAGAACAATTTTATCATCATCTGCCAACATTCCTTGCTAGGTACTGGTATAGCAAAAGGTGTCAATCATGGGCCCTAATCACATGGAGTTTACAGCCAGTAACTACACTGTTAGGCATGCAGAAGCCATTTTAAACACTCCCAGACACAAAAACCCCTTTTCATTTTTAGTTTCAGCTTTTTTAGCTGCCTACTTTTAATAATGTATCCATTTTTTTTCCTCTATAGGAGACCAAGAAGAAAACAAAGAGGAAAGAAGGACGGAAGGTCACCTAGAAGGATAGCATTTTAGAAGAATCTAAAATGTGTGAGAACAAATGAGGATTCTTCCCTTCATGCTGAATCAAAATCTCTGTAGTAATGTAGTCACTGTATCTTAAAGAGGCACCATTTGGTTCCCTACTAAACAGCCTCCCCCTCCACATATGTTAGATGACCTGTGTGGTCCAACTGCTACCCAGACAGAACTGACAGATATTTTATACTACACCACATGCTTATGCTTCCATTCATAAAGAAGTGAGCATTAAAAAAAAAGAAAGAAAGAAAACTTAAACACGAATTAGAAACACAACACAACTGAAGACTTGAGTAAATAGCACCAGTACTGTTAAAAAGTATGTAAAATTTTATGTGAAAATCTGCATTTCAATTACAATACAGAGCTTAGAAAGTAAAGTTTCTAATGTACTTACTTTCTCATGAAAGACTATTAGAAGAATCCAAGTTCAAAAAAAATGACCAATAATCTACTTTCCTTAAATTATACTTCACTTCTAGTACCTGCAATCTTCAGGATTACATATGCTGCTTTGTTCTCTGTCACCTTTAAAATACTATTTTCTCGGGGCGCCTGGGTGGCTTAGTCGGTTAAGCATCCGACTTTCGCTTAGGTCATGATCTCGCGGTTCGTGGGTTCGAGCCCCGCGTCGGGCTCTGTGCTGACTGCCAGCTCAGAGCCTGGAGCCTGTTTCAGTCTGTGACTCCCTCTCTCTCTGACCCTCCCCTGCTCACGCTGTCTCTCTCTCTCTCTCTCTCCTAGAAATAAATAAAACATTAAAAAACTTAAAAAAATAAAAATAAAAAAATAAAATAAAATACTATTCTCTCAGGGCACCTGGGTGGTTCAGTTAAGCGTCCCACTTCGGTTCAGGTCATGATTGCACAGTTCATGAGTTCGAGCCTCACGCTGAGCTCTGTGCTGACAGCTCAGAGCCTGGAACCTGCTTCAGACTCTCTCCCTCTCTCCTCATCTCTCCCCACCTCAAGCTCGGTCTCTCTCAAAAATAAACATTAAAAAAATAAAATACCATCTACTAATTCCTCTACTAAACCATCTTTCTGGATGCTAATCCAAGTTTTATCTATCCAGAAATATGAATGAGTTGGGAGGTTTGGGAAACGTATTTTCCAGGAAACAGGATGACATCTAACCCACAACATGCAGCTTCTAGGCCTTCAGAGGCCGAACGCAGTACTACAGGGTTTTGACCCTGACCTTACCATCTCAACTTCCTGCTCCCACTTACTAGGCACTCTTAATCACTTAACTCTTATTTTTTGTTTCAAAAGCATTTATCACTAACAAAAAATGTCTCTTTTGTTATCTGATCTCCCATAAGACTATAATCTCCAGAGAGTAGGGCTTTTATGTGTCTCATTGATTCAATCCCAGCTTTCAGAATAATACCTGGCTCATACAAAACACACAGTCGGGTGGCCTGGGTGGCTCGGTTGGTTGAGCTTCCAACTTCAACTCAGGTCATGATCTCAGGGTTTGTGAGTTGCAGCCCCGGGAATTAAGCTCACTGCTGTCAGCACAGAGCCAGCTTCAAATCCTCTGTTCCCTTCTCTCTCTATGCCCCTCCCATGCTCATGCTTTCTCAAACATAAGTAAAACATTAAAAAAACAAACTCGATAAACACACACGTAATCATAATTTCTTACAATACTCAAAAGAACTGGAACATCATTTATAAAACAATAAGCCAACTAGTAAAATCTTTGGGTCCTTATTTTTCTATCATTGTAGAGAAAAATCACAAGAAAACATGTATCTGCTTACCAACTCTTGCTAAATTAGATACCAAAAAAATGGATAGTTAAATGAAGGTTTTTAAAGGAAATATTACTAATTTTTTTAGAATACCAGAGAAACAGAAGTTCCTATTCCTTCATATACTGAATTCCTGATGGATTTACAGAGTGAGGATGCCTAGGGGTGCCTGAGTGGCTCAGTTGGTTGAAGGTTCAACTTCAGCTCAGGTCATGATCTCACAGTTCATGGGTTCGAGCCCCACGTCAGGCTCTGTACTGACAGCTAGCTCAGAGCCTGGAGTGTTTTGGATTCTGCATCTCCCTCTCTCTCTCTGACCCTCCCCTGCTCATGCTGTCTCTTCTTTCTCCCTCAGAAACAAACAAAACATTAAAAAAAATTTTTACAGAGTGAGGATGCCTGACTTCCTTACCTACAATCCTCCAGCCATTATCTCAGGGCTACATTCCGAACCGACAGACTCAGGATAGGGTAATTTTGGTGAACAGTGGGATGATTTTTACAAAAGAGTAAGCAGATCATATCGTAAGCAAATATAAAACCCAGGGGGCAATGATTCCTCTAACAAATACCTTTATGAAGTTGAACCACTGCCATTTCCCTTACCCCAACATGCTCGGGCAATTTCTGTTTCATGACACTATCAGTCAAGCAGCAAGTGCCAAATTATGTTGTGTATTGATCTGTTGTGATTTCAAGTCCATATGGTCTTGAATTAAGTGAAGCTGTTTTGATCTAATTTGAGGAACCATGTCAAGATGGTATCTGCTGACCTGTTGTGCTACTGAGTGCTTTTCCATATGAATATTTGGAGGAGTAAGTATGATGTAATGGGCTTTAAATACCGGCAGTTTGTGTGGACCTACCCAGAGTGTTCAGTCTGGGCAAGGCTCCTCTTTGCTGATCTACACAGCTCTCTGAAGATCTTGACACACTTGCTCCCGCTGAGGTCAGGCAAACTCTTGGTCAGCAGGGGTGTTAAACCATACAGCAGTCTTGGAAGGGAAGGGACATCTGCTCCTGCCCTGGTGAGCGATTTCTCATGGGCACTGGTGCAGGCTGTGTACCTGTCCCCAAAGTACTAACCTACAGAGCAGCCAGCCTTGCCTATGTCCAATGCCAAGGCACCGTCCACTAGCTACATGTCCCAACAGCTATTACCCAACTTTTGGTTGAAAGGCTTACTCTACCAAGAACCATCTCCTAGGGAGACACACCTCAAATAAATCTGGACTCCACTGCCTGAATCAAAAGTATAATTCACCTATCATGGGTTTGCAGAGAATGTTATTTCCTCACCGGATTACTGAGAGACATTATCCTGTAACCTATGGCTTATGAAATATGTTATAATTCCCGTAGTAAACCCGTGTTAAATGCATTATTGGCAGAAACAAATCTCAGACTCGGCATAATGTGCCCCGAACAAAACAAGCTACCACAGAATCAAGTTTCATTTAAAGGGTTACGTATGAGAGGAAGGCTGGGAGGCTGAGCAAGTAGCGGTTTGGCACTGAGAGCTTATTTAAAACACTCATTTCCTAGATTTCCTAACCACGGCCCTGCTATCCCACCCCTCCCTGAGGATACCTTTGCTTTTGTTGCAAACTGAAGTGGTAGGTGACGTCCCCTTTCAAAATCACAGAAACTAGCTGGGGCTGCGTTACTTATCAACATGGTGGAAGACTGGATGCCGCGGTAAGAAGTGTACGCGGCCTGGGGTGAGAGAGGTCCCGGCTAAGCCAAGCTGCCTCTCGGAGCAAGTTTCCGCATCTGCGAAAGGTCATAAAGTTACCTCTCCCAGAAAACGGCTAGAAGCGGCAAATACCATGACCCGCACAGGGCGCAGCGCGTGCGTACCGTGGGTGCTCCCCTCGCCAACCGCAGAGCAACATCCGAGATTTGGATTCTCCGGCTATCAAGGTGTGGTGCCTGAGCACGGCTGTGGAGCAACCACACAGCCGAACAGCGTGCACCTCGGCGAGCATCCCGCAAGCCCGGAGGCGCCCGGAGGCGCCCGGAGCCCCCCCCCCCCACGCGGGCCAAGGGAACGCTCGCAGCTACCCGCCGGGCAGACCATCCCCGGCGCCGTCTCTCTCCTGGAGCCCGGGCGGAGGGGGCCGGCCACGCCGCTGCCACCCGGGCTCCGAGAAGGGGCGGCGGGCGCCGGAAGCGGGGAGGGCCCGGCCGAGGCCCCGAGCGCGCGAGGCAGCGGGGAGACCAGTACTTACTCCCGGCCCGCGGTGGGCGGCCGCGGCCAGCCGTCTCCAGGCGGCGACGAAGTCGGGCAGCCGGGCTCGCCGGCTCCGGCAGACGAGGGAGAAGAGAGTCCCCAGGAGGAAGGCGGCCGCCGCGCAGCCCAGGCACAGGCTGAGCCGGAGCAGGACGGTGCACGGCCCCGCGCCTCCGGCCGCCTGCCAGCAACCGGGCCCCAGGCAGGAGAGGCACACGGAGGCGAGTGCGGCCACGGCCACGGGCACTCGCCAGTTCCAGCCTCCAGGGCTCCCCGGCGCCGCCGCGTCTTCCCGGGCGTCCGGCCGCCGCTCGCCCGGGGCGCCCTGGGCGCCCAGGGCTGGGCGGCCGCCGGTGGCCGCGGCCGGCGCGAGGCTGAGGCCGGCGCCGCTGCTGTCGGTGGCATCGGGGTGCATGCTGCTTCCTGTGCCGCTAAGGACAGGCACATCTCCTGCCCTGCTGTCCCCCGGCGCTGCCCTGGACGGTGGCCTCAGCGCGGCGCCCCCTCCCCTCGCCGCTCCCGCCGCCGCCGCTCCTGAGGCACCGGCAGTCCGCGCTCATGCCCTCGCCGGCGGCCCACCGAGGGAACGGGCCCAACAGACGCCGCCGAGCTCCTCGCAGCGACCCCTCAGCGCCGCCAGCCGGCGCCGGCCCCGCAGCCGTCCGCCCGGGCGCGCCCAGGTGGCCGGACCGCGTTGTGACTTCAGCTGGCGAAGCCCGAGGCGGAGTCGGGGCGGGGGCGGCCCGGAGGTGCTTGTCTGGCGGGGGGCGGAGAGCGACCGCGGCCCGCTGAGTGACAGGTGGGAGGTGCCCGGCCGCGCCCGGCCCCTGCCGCCCACCCGCGGCGCGGGGGGCGGGGTCAGACCGCGGCTGCCCCCCAAAGGGAGGGGGCGCGGCCAATCGCCGGGAAAACTGCTGGGTCCCTGCGCGCCTCCTCCCCTCCCCTCCCCCAGGGTACCGTCTGTGGATGGAAAATTTTGCTGCAGGTGTCAGAAGCACTCGTAATTCTCCGGCTCAGGTGATCCCTTAATCCTCACTCTCCGCTCTTCACTGACCATGTTTAGGGCTCCGCAAATGTCTGCCTTGTTTTCACCTGCTGTTTAGAATCAATGGGCAACCATTCCTAACCCTCACTTTTAACACAGTTTCTCTCAGCGACCTTCCTCTTTCCACCCAGCCGCCTCAGGGAAGGGATCGACGAAGGTGGAAGAGTAACGAAGCCTGCAATTGCTAGTTATGGAAAGGCCCAGAGAAGTCGGCCGAGCGCCAGAGTGTACACAGCTGCCATAATCACTTTGGCTCGAAGTCCCTATATTTTTGTTACCAGAGATTCAGTACAAATGTTATTACCCACGCAAGTGAAAGTGGTCCAAATCAGTTTTAGAGAACAGAGTTTCCTATTCCCCTATCATGGTCCCATCGTTAATATACAGATAATGTTTGCTGAAAAAACTGGTGATATGCTAGATAAATACTAGTAAATTACTACTAGGGCCAATAAAGCAGCAGCTATATCTTTAATAAGTAAAAAGAATTGGAAAGGAAATGAAGGAATTCTAAAGAGATTAATGAACTAAAAGGAGGGGTGATACAGTAAAGAAGGCGAATCCAGAATAGAGAGAAGAAAGGGAAGGAGAGGTAAACAGAGAAGCAGTGAGAAAGGACAGAAGCAACAAAAAAAAAAGTGTCAGAACTTTTTCGTGTAGGAGTCCTGAAGAATTTCAACAGTTTATGGGGCGCCTGGGTGGCTTAGTCGGTTAAGCGTCCGACTTTCGCTTAGGTCATGATCTCGCGGTTCATGGGTTAGAGGCCTCCATCAGGCTCTGTGCTGACGGCCAGTCAGAGCCTGGAGCCTGTTTCAGTCTGTGACTCCCTCTCTCTCTGACCCTCCCCTGCTCACGCTCTCTCTCTCTCCTAGAAATAAATAAAACATTAAAAAAAATTTAAAAAAAAGAATTTCAACAGTTTAACAGCATTATTGTTCTCCAATAAAATGACTCATATCCTGCTTCGCAGGGAGCATAGTTAAGAAAAATAAGCATTAAAATAATATTTTCAAATTACTGTGACTATACTGTTTTTCAATAAGGAATCGTCTGTCATGATTTCAACAAAGAAAAAAATACATTCATACAAACTAGAATATTTGGCGGATATTCTTTTTTTGGATTTTACTATTTTTAATTTTCTTTTTCATAAGCATTTATTGTTTTATGAAGAATAATTTACATACAATGAGCTGTGCAATTTGATTTTTAGATCTACCAAACATTTATTTATTGTCTCAAGTGTTTATTTACATTCCAGATAGTTGTTTATTCTTGTAAAACAAAGTACTCCAAGAGGTTATTATCCAAAAGAAGACATACTGGAAATATGGTGGTGTGTCGATTATCTATTGTTGCATAACAAACTACCATCAAATAACCATTTTATTTGCTTATGATTTTGTGGGTCAGCGATTTGAATTGGGGGCAATTGGGCAATTCTGCTCTCGCCTTGGGTAACTAATGAAACTATGGTCTCCTGGTGCACAGGCTGGGCTATTTGGTCTGTGGAGTCTGGTGAGATGGCTTGTCTCTGCTTCCTGTGTTCTTATCCTCCAAAGGGTCAGCTTGGCCTTCTTCACATGACACTTTCAGGGATGCCCTGTGCAAGTTCTTTTTAAGCTTTTCCTTGCATTACATTTGCTAATGTCTCATTGGCCAAAGCAAACATCTGGCCCAAACAGTAATTAAACAGGGAGGGTCTAAACATGGGTTTAAATATAGGGAGCTGTAATTCATTAGCTGATTTACTTTAGCAACCTACCTCAATTTGCTCTATAGAGTACACTAATCAGTTTCTCATGGATCATCTGGCTGCTCACCCAAATCAGTGGTTTCCAGTGACTTATCACTGCAAAAATGTTAAAGCTCACATTTCTTGTCCCTGGAATTAATAGTTCTTCATAATCTAATTCCATTTATCTGTAAGATAAAGAAAAGGACATAGGTAAGGATAGAGACAGTATTTAAGTCTGTTTTCCAGTCAAGAGTTTGGTAATAAAGCTTTATCATTTAGCTTTATTTCACTCTCATATTTCCAAGTTATGAAAATAAAGCAAAAAAAACCACTCAGATTTTAAACAATGTTTTTAATGTTTATTTATTTTTCAGAGAGAAAGAGATAGAGGGGCGGAGAGAGAGGGAGACAGAATTCGAAGCAGGCTCCAGGCTCTGAGGTGTCAGCACAGAGCCCGACATAGGGCTCGAACCCATGAGCCTTTAGATCATGATCCATAAGATCATGAGCAGTGAAATCATAACTGTGACTATAACCGACTGAACCACCCAGGTGCAGCTGCACTCACTTAGATTTTGATAGCCATTATTATTGGGCAGCAGATTAGAAAGAAAGGATGTAAATTGTGTTTACTCTTTATCTAATTTCTCCAAAATGCATGTGAGCCAAAAAAGCTTTCTGAACTGATCTATAAGTTAGGGTTAGGGTTAGGGTTATATATTATGAGCAGAGTAAAATATAAAGTAGGCAGAGCACAATATTGGTTAAACAAATTGTATACATTGGGAAAGAATTTTGAATATTTTCAGATTAACACTATGTATTTAATATTATATAAAGCTTAAATACACTGTGAAAAAGAAGCCAGTGGCTCTCATTTGTTGTTTATTTGCTCTGGAAAAGAGAACATACTTATGAAAAATAAAAATTAGGATTAGAGGTTTTTTTAATGTTTATTTATTTTGGGAGATAGAGCATGGGGGAGAAGCAGAGAGAGGGAGAGAAACTGCTCTGTCAGCACTGAGCCTGACATGGGGCTCAATCTCACAACCTTGAAATTATGACTGGAGCTGAAATCAAGAGCTGAACACTCAACCAACTAGGCCACTCAGAAGTCCCCAAGATTAGTATTAGAGTTTTAATGAGTCCTGAACAGGTGCTGCACATTGTAGGCCCTCAATAAATTTTTGAATGAATAAATCTGACATTCTTCCGGATAACTGAGTAGACCAAAACAAGTAATAAAAAATAACATCGTATTTTAATGGAAACTTCAACTTTTGGAAATCCTTCTAAAACATATGTTCCCCCTATAACTCTCTAAAGGAGACACAGTAAGCATTATAACCCCATTTTCCAGAGGAGGAAACTGAGCCTCAGAGAAGTTAAATGACTTGCTCAAAATTACAGCTAGTAGGTGGTGGAACTAAATTATAGGATTCTGCTCCATTATGCTATCTTTCAAATACAATAGTTAAAAGTAATGTCAAAGGACAAAATCGCTTTCTATATTATATAAATAATATCCTTACAAAACCAATGCAATAATAATAGCATTCATCTGGCTTTTAAATAGATTGGGAATTTCTGGAAGGTAGTATATGACTTCACTCTTTCAGTCCAAAAATATAAGGAAAGTGCTTTGTTTATAAAACAGTATAGAAGCAGGGTGGCTCAGTTTGTTAGTCTGACTTCGGATTGTGGCTCAGGTCATGATCTCATGGTTCGTGGGTTCCAGTCCCACATTGGGCTCCATGCCAACAACTCGGAGCCTACTTGGGATTCTTTCTCTCTCCTTCTCTCTGCCCCTTCCCAGCTCAAGCTCATGCTCCCTTTCAAAATAAATAAACTTTAAAAAATAAATTTTAAAATATAAAATATGGTCTCTGTCCTTGAAGAGCTCACATTCTATTGGGGTGCAGGGGGAGGAAGCAGAAAGCAATGTAATGTATATTACTAAGTTATTACAAAGTTCTATGGTGGCAAGAAGAGAGGTACTAATTCTGCTTTGTGGGAGTTCAGGAAATTCCTATGTGAATCTAAGTCATTTTGCGTCCTTAATTTCCACTATTCCAGCATTTAAATATTTTGAACTACCCCCTTTTAGATACTTAAAAAATATGAAACTTAACATTTAATTACAATTTGGTTTATAAACTTCAACCCAGTAAAGACTTCATCCTTCAAAACTTAATTCATAAATTAAAAACAAGTTTTCCATATGCTCAAAGTTTAGCATAGATGAAAAAAACACCAGCTATTATGCAAAGGTCTTTTAATAGCTCTCTACAGAAATAGTCAAGCCTATATTCTATTTCAAGAGGCATATAAGAAGTAAAAAAAAATTTTTTTTTGAGGGCCAAGGGATATTATTTACATCTTTTCTGATAAAAGAGTTCAGATTCAATGAATTTGGGAAAGAGCCTTTTTACACCTCTGAGGTGATGACCCTCTGTGACCAGAAGTATGAAGAGGCACAAAGCAAAATCTCTGGCCTGAAGAAGTTTGTTCACAATCTACTTCATACATTCATTGATTCATTTGTTTGTATAGACTACTCAGGATGTGCTCTTTGCAGGGAAAGAAAACCAGAGAGAAGGCAAAATTTTACAAATTAATAGCCCAGGAAAAAAGCCAAAATTAAAGATATAATATGATTTTCTGTTTATTTTTCATCATAAAACATACACAAAATTTAATATTTCAACCATTTTTAAGTATACAATTCAGTGGCACTAGGTACATTCACAGTGTTGTACAACTATCACCAGCATCCATCCTCAGATGAGTTTCATCATCCTATACTGAAACTCTGTACCCATTAAACAAGAATCTCTCCTCCCCCTCTCTCCCCATCCCCTGCCCAGTCCCTGGTAACCTACTTTTTTTTTAAGATTTTATTTTTAAGCAATCTCCACACTCAATGTGGGGCTCAAACCCACAACCTTGAAATCAAGAGTTGCACACTCCACCGACTGAGCCAGCCAGGTGCCCACTTCTATTCCAATTCCTGTTACTGTGACTTGCCTATTTTAGGTACCTCATGTAAGTGGATTCATAGAATAGTTGTCCTTTTGCATCTGGCTTATTTCACTTAGCATAATGTTTTCAAGATCCATCCATATTGTAGCATGTATTATAACTTCATTCTTGTTTAAGGCTGAGTAAGATTCCCGTATGGATTTACGTTTTGTTTATCCATCTTTGGTGGACATTTGGGTTGTTTATGTCTTTTGGCTTTGGTGAATTACACTGCTATGAACAGAGTATACAAATACCATTTGAGACTCTGCTTTCAGTTCTTTTGGGTACATTCCCAGAAGTAAAATTGCTGGCTCACGTGGAATCTGTGTTCAATTTACTGAGGAACTGCCATGGTTTTCCACAGCAGTTATACCGTCTCATATTCCCATGAGCAAAACACAGGGCTCCAGTCTCTCCACACCTTTGCCAATCCTTGTTATTTTCTGTCTTATTTTTATAACAACCAGCCTAATGTGTGTGAAGTGCTATCTCATGATTTGTTTGCATTTCCTGAATGATTAGTGATGTTGAGCATCTTTTCCTGTGCTTATTGGCCATATATTCTTGGGAGAAATTCTTGACCACAGAGTAGACAATCATCCCTGGGAAATGGTGCCAGCATAGTTTTATCAAACAGAATTAAGTGAAATCCTGTCTTTTAGCTTACAAAAAGAGCAAACTGATTCTGTGCACTTGTTGGTAGCTACAACTGAAAAGTACAAAATGCATTGTGAAGAACAAAAATAGAGCCAATTCCTTAGCGACACTCCCTAGGATATGGATAACCCTTAGATCCTAGCTTTCTTTGCACTTACTTGTAAAAAATGTATTGAGTATCCATTAAATTAGGTTTTTGGTGCTCCTATAATAAATTACTACACACTGAGTGCTTTAAAACAACACAAATTCTCTTTCTGTTCTGGAGTTCAGAAGTCTAAAATCAAGGTATTAACAGGGCTGCATTCCTTCTAGAAACTTCAGGGGAGAATACCTTTTCTTCCCTTTGTCAGTTTCCAGAGACACCTGCTTTCCTTGACTCAAGGCCGCTTACGTCACTCTGATCTCCTGCTGCCTTTTTTTATTAAAAATTTTTAAATGACAGTTTAAAACAAATTTTTTTTAATGTTTATTTTTTGAGAGAGAGAGAGAGAAAAAATGGGGGAGGGACAGAGAGGGAGAAACAGAATCTGAGGCAGGCTCCAGGTTCTGAGCTGTCAGTACAGATCCCAATGTGGGGCTCGAACCCAACCGTGAGATCATGACCTGAGCTCAAGTCCCACACTTATCCAACTGAGCCACCCAGGAGCCCCTAAATTGACAGTTTTACTGACATGTAACTGACATATAACAGCATATGTTTAGGATGACAACAGTATATGTCATGACACGAATACCACAATAAGTCCAGTTAACAACCATCTCCTCACAGTTACAGTTTTTTTTCTCTTGTGATGGAAACTATTTTTTAATGTTCATTGATTTTTGAGACAGAGAGAGACAGAGCACGGGCAGAGGGAGAGGCAGAGAGAGAGGGAGACACAGAATCTGAAACAGGATCCAGGCTCTGAGCTGCCAGCACAGAACCCAATGCGGGGGCTCAAACCCAACCGCTAGATCATGACCCGAGGTGCCCAACCGACTGAGCCACCCAGGTGCACTGGGAACTTTTAAGCTCTGTCTTAACTTTCAAATATACAACACAGTAGTGTTAATTATAGTCACAGTACTGTCATTATAACCTCTTGCTTCTATGGCCGCCACTCCTACCAACTACTTGCAAACTTCTTGACTCTCATTTTTAAGAATCCATCTGATTACACTGAACCCACCTGGATAATCCAAGTTAATTTTCCCATCTCAAGATCCTTAGTCACATAGCCCAAGTCCCTTTTTCCACGTTAAACAGCATATTCACGGGTTCTGGGTATTAGGAGGTGGACCTACTTGGAGCACCATTACTCTACCACACCTACTACAGGCCTGTGAGTTCAAACACGAAAAATCATGGGGCGCCTGGGTGGCTCAGTCGGTTAAGCATCCAACTTCAGCTCAGGTCATGATCTCACGGTCTGTGGGTTCGAGCCCCGCATCGGGCTCTGTGCTGACAGCTCAGAGCCTGGAGCCTGTTTCAGATTCTGTGTCTCCCTCTCTGTCTGAACCCTGCCCTGCTCACGTTGTCCTCCCTCTCAGAAATAAATAAAAAATAAAAAACAAAAAACCATGAAATTCAACATATTCCATAGACATTTTTCTCTTAATTACCCACCTCATGTACCAGTAGTCAGAAGACTCTCTAATGTGCTCTAGAATCACACAACTAACTAGTTCTTTGATCTGAACTTTGCGGATATAAACAATCACAAAGTCACGGCTGCCCCCATGTTTACCCTGTTGTTTTTGTGAGGAATTGCAAGACCATTAAAGCCACTTTCACAGTTAAAGTAGCCACCCTAGCAACTAGGTCCACCGACATTGCTGTTCACAGCAGGGGCCACAGCGGTAATACCTGGACGTTGCACCGGGCAACTCAGGACCTAAAAGATTAGTTTCTTCACGTGTCCCTTCCCACTGCAGAGTGGCGGGCCCGGCCTCCCAGTCCCGGCCACCCAGAGGAGGGCGCGACGCGTCGAGCCTCTCTAGGCCGCCGGCGAGCCCGCCGCGCTCTGTGACGCCCGCCGCGAGGAGCCTCGAGGAGGCCGCTGCGCCGCCCGCCGCGCCGCGGCCCAGTTCCCGCGTTACTCGCAGCGTTCGCTCCGCGCCCTCCTTTCCCGTTCGACTCTCTCCGCCTCCGGAAGCTCCGGCCACGCTGCTGGGAGCCGCGAGCCGGCACTGCGCGCGCGCGCGCTGGCGCCTGCGCACGAGCCTGGGACGCCGCGGGAGGCGCGCGAGGTGGCAGCGGCGGCCCAGGAGCCCAGGTAAGCGGCGCGCGGGCAACCCTTGCTGCCCCGCCCGCTCCGCGCCCGCCACCCTCCCCTCCGTTCGGGATCCGTTTCCCCTCTCCGGAGCCCCGGCTGCGGCGAGCACGCAGGGTCGGTATGAGGAAGCCGGCGCGGGAGGTTAGGAAGGCCGTCCGGCCGGGACCCCCAGCCCTCGGCTCCGCCAGCCCTCCGGCCCGGCCCGCCCCCTCAGGTGGCGGGTGTAACCACAACAAAGACGTCCGAGCCCGCGGTCGGCTGGTCTGTGGGGCCGCCCGCAGCCCCACCTGGTCCCTGTGGGAACCGCTCGGCCTGCCCTCCGGTCGCTTTCGGGGATGGAGTCGGGGCCGGGGTCGGCCCGGAGTTAAGAAGTGGTTGTAACCGGGAGCCGGAGTCGAGTCACCGCCGCCCTGATCCGCGCGGCCTTGACCCTGAACCCCGGGGCCTGAGGGGCTGTCAGTTATCTTCTTCTACGGGAGAGGGGGTGTTGAGGGCGGGGAAGATAGTGGTTCGAAGGAGGTGGTGAACGGAACCTCGAGTTCCTGGAAAAGGGGTGTTTACTTGGGGCCGAGATTTTCGTGTACCCAACGGGTTACCTTCTTTAGACCATTTTATACATATAATTATAGAAACAGTGTAATGTCACAGTAGCAAAATGATAGTTTAAAAATTGCCATATTCTTGTGTGTTTTCCTGATGTCTTTGAAGGAGCATTATTTCTGTTGCTGGCTCTGTAAGAGCTAGACAAATGGTTGAGGGTCCAAGGACCCCCGGTCAGCTTTGACAAATACTGGTTTTCATTGAGCCGCAGAAGGGTTTTTAAGTGATCTACCCTTTAATTTTTACCCTTTCCCAGTATGTGGTGAAGAGAATCTTTGCCGCGTTATTAAATGTATATTTTTATTTCCCAATGTAAATTGAATCTCATTAACTTGGACATAAATGTTTATCAGAAAAATTGCTTGATGGATGGGATCACTGGGTAATTTTTCTGTAAATTAAGTTTAAATCACTGGAGTATTTAAATCCTTACAATAACCCTGTCTGTCGGATATTATGCCTGAAAAATCTCACATGGTTTATGCACTGCCACCTCTCGCAAACTGTGACTACCTAGGAAGGTGAGTCCTTAAAACTGTTGAGGACTCCATGAACCACGTAAATACAGATAAGGGGATAGTTAATTCTGGTGTGTAGGGGAGTGGAGTGGCGGTTCGTGGGGGACGATTGTGGGAAGCTGTCTGGAAAAGCATTGATTTTTCAGCTCACATAGCTAGCGAGCAAAGAGCAGAACTCAGTTCAGTCTTAAGTCTCCGAACTCCAGACTCCCTCATCGGATAAACACTCTTGGAACGTCTAATGTTTGTCAGATCCTACTTGGGGCACTGGGGTATAAAGATGAGCAAGATGCGAAGAATTCCCCATTTGGTAAGGAGATAAGGCAGGAAACTGTTAGCTATGAAAAATAGCTATATGTCTATTCAGGGATTTCAGAGAAGTTCCAGTCATTTGGCTTACAGACTGATGTTGGAATTTAGACCTAGTTCATAAAATGTTAAAGTTGGGAAAATCCTATCCTCCTAATGCATGAATTCCTTTTGTAGCATCCCAGCAATTGGACATGCAGTTTTTACTCCAACATTATCTAGTGACTTGTGGCTCATAATCTTAGAAAGTAGCCCATTCCATTTGGGCAGTTCTTATGTTCATTTCAGAACAGCTTCCTTATACATTATACATCTGTTGATGCAAGTCCTATCTCCAGAACTACCGAAAACAGTTCTAAATGTTTTTTTTTTTCATATCACAGTCTTTTGAGGATTTGAATCCCCCCTTTCTCTTAGCCATTTTTTTTACTAGCTTGTGAATGTCTTGTTCTGTAAACCATTGATCATGACTTAGGTTCTAGACTCTTCCCCATAGCACCCAAAACTGAATGCTTCATTCAAGAAGTAGTTTAATAAGCAGCATATAATGCATGTTGTCTTAGACTGTATATTGCTATCCCCGTATGATTTAAGAGCATTTTAGTCTTTTGGTTTCTGAGTCATGCTTTTGCCACTTGGTAAGCTCCATGTCTTTTTTTCAAAGAACCTTTTAAGTGGGGGTCCTCTGTGCACCTTCCCTCATTCTATGCCCGTGCTATTAATTGTGTTATTATTTGGCTGTTTCAGAGCGTACCTCCCCATTGGATTTTTAGCTTATTACTCTTCCTCTGGTTGTTTCAGTACAGCATAATCAGTCAGGCTGCTGTCTGGCCAGACCGCCTGGATCCAAATCCTGACTCTTTCTAAAGCTTTCAAGCCCTGTGGTGTTGAAAATGTCAGTTAACCTCTCTGTGCTTCAGTTTCTTCATCTCTGACGTCAAAGTAGTTACCAGCATTAAATGAATTGATTAATGAAAAAGTGCTTAGAAAGTGTTTAGTATATAATCTATATGAATGTTGGCTTCTTTTCCATTTACCTAGAAGCTTCTGAATCCTTATTTTCAAATGTCCATCTCAGGTTTTTTTATTCACAAATTTGATAAAGCTTGAAATCACAAGAAGCGTACTTGAAACAAACTAATAGCTTATAATTGGTCAAGCCGTTTAAATTTGCTAGGCCTTAGTTCTAATGTAGGGGTAAAATCTTTTCCTTTCAAGACTGTGGGGAACTTTGAGGGTACAGGAAGGGTATTAGCTCTAATTTGCATTATTTTGCCATGTACCATCTTGAGGAACTTTACGTAAGTCTCCCTCAAGGTTATCAGGAATCACAAGATTTGATTTGAAATGCCAAATACACAAAGAGGAGGCTTGCTGGAAACATTTCAGGTTTAGTGTCTTCCAGAATTGTGACTCTCCTTGCCAGAAATTCCATTCACTATTCGCTTTGGAAAGGGGGTTTGGTTTGGTCACAAGCTCATATTGGATTCTAGGGAGTCACAAGTTAATACAAAGTTCTGGATTCTTGTTACTTAGATTAACATTTTTTAATTTACCTAAGGCTACTAGTTTATTTAAAATGTGATGCCAGTGAGATTTGTTCCAATATACTTTGTTAGAGGAAAACTGCTACATGGCAGATAAATCCAGCAAAATGCATGGCAATCACTGGCATATGTATCTAATTTTAACTGTACAGACCACCCTCTCCTGCAGAGAACTGCTCCTAAAACCATATTGCTAAACAGGTTCCATTTTGCTTTAAAAATCACAGGGCCGCCTGGGTGGCTCAGTCGGTTAAGCTTCCGACTTTGGCTCAGATAATCTAATGGATCCTGAGTTTGAGCCTCACTTCAGGGCCTGTGCTGATGACTAGGAGCCTGGAGCCTGCTTCGCATTCTGTGTCTCTCTTTCTCTCCCCAGCTCACACTCTGTCTCTCTCAAATATAAATTAAAAAAAATTTTTTTAAATGCTTAAAAAATAAAAATCCCAATGATGAGAAGAAAATCTTGTTATCTTGCCCACAGTTTACCATCATATAAATCATAGATAATCACAGCAATGTATCTTAAAGGTTAAAAAAACAAACAAACAGATCTTAGTTCCTTTGGAAAGACTATACTTTGAAGCAGAATAGAACAGTGATTAATAACATGATCCTTAAACTAAGCCTGCTTTAGAATCCTGGCTGTGCCACTTACTAATTGTGTGACTCTGGGCAAGTTCTTGCTCTGCTTCATTTTTCTCATTGGTAAATAAGAATAATAAAACTTCTTAAGCTTAGATACATTTTAGCTGTTAGATACTAGAATAATAGCACTAATATAAATGGAACTTAGTTATGTTCATTTTGTCTATTTCCTGAAAAATGTAAATAAATTTTTCTGAGGGATGGAAGACAATCATTTGGATGATTTGTTTTTGAAAGACTTTTTAAAAATGTTTATTTATTTTGAGAGAGGGAGGGGAAGGGACAGAGAGAGAGAGAGAGAGAGAGAGAGATCCCAAGCGGACTCTGCACTGTCAGTGTGGAGCCCCATGCCTGGCTCAGACTCAAGAACTGTGAAATGATGACCTGAGCCAAAATCAAGAGTCAGAAGCCCCTGAAAGATTTATTTTTTAAACTGACCTGGAAAATTTTTGCTTTGGGCTATGCCATGAAACCATTTGTTTTGAAAATTTGAAGAAACTTAAAAAATATTTTTGGTTTTAATCACAAGGTATTTTAAAAAATTATTTTAATGTTCTATTTATTTCTGAGAGAGAGAGAGACAGCACGAGCAGGGGAGGGGCAGAGAGAGAGGGAGACACAGAATCCTAAACAGGCTCCAGGCTCTGAGCTAGCTGTCAGCAAAGAGCCCAGCACGGGGCCTGAACCCAGGAACTGTGAGATCATGACCTAAGCTGAAGTCAAACGCCCAACCAACTGAGCCACCCAGGAGTCCCAATCACAAAAGTATTCTTAACCATGTAACAAAGTGAGAAAGAAAAAAACCAGTAACAATAACTCCCTTTTAGTCCATGTTTTGACATTTTGGGTTAAAGTGTTAATTACATTACAAAAGAGGGTAACTTCGGGGAGAATTTAATGACAATGTTTTTAAGAGCTTCTCACCATTCAGTGGCTGTTTTGTTTTTCTTTCTGAACTCAGGTGGGCAGAATTGGATTGATAATGATCAATCATACTACTTCCTTAATTTTTTCCTAATTAAGTAGGCCCTGGGGCGCCTTGGTGGTTCAGTTAAGTGTCTGACTCTTGATTTCAGCTCAGGGCATGATTTCACGATTCTTGAGTTTGAGCCCTGCCTCAGGCTCTGTGTTGACAGTGCAGAGCCTGCTTCAGATTTTCTGTCTCCCTCTCTGTCTGTCCGTCCCCTGCTTGCACTCTCTCAAAATAAACAAACAAACAAACACTAAAAAAAAGTAGGCTCTAGCCCAATTGTGGGGCTCAAACTCACAACTCTTAAATTAAGACTCACATGTTCTACCAGCTGAGCCAAGCCAGGCACCCCCTCAATCATACTCCTTAGTTAAGTGATAATCCATGATCACTGGCTTCTGCCAAGTTCTTTATCCTCACCCCCACCCCACAACCGTCTGCTTCCTCATCATTATTCCTCGCCTCTCTTCACAGCGTCATAGTTGTTTAATGTATGGTCTTCCAGTCCATGCTATGTAACTTTGTGCCCATGAGGAATTTAGTATTGTGTATGTTTTAAGTTTTAAATAATTGTATTGTTCACTTAATTCTGCTCTTCTAGTAAACTTTATTTTTGTAGCTTTCAGCTCACCCTTTTTGACTGACATATAGTATATCACATACAACATTTCATTTATCCATTTTCCTCTTATTAGACATTGAGTTTTTCCCTAACTTGTTGCTATTACAAGCAATAGAGCTGTCATGAACATCTTTGTACAGGTACCCAGATACACAGTTGTCACAGAACCAAGTTTGAGTGAGAGTGTGTCTGACTCAAGTCATTCTTTTTCATTGTGCGGACTCCCAGTTATCACTTACTTGCTTAGTTTATTGCAAGGACATTATAACAGTAATGGAAATATAAAAAATGCAGTGGAGTTGTTGGTTTTTCTTCTAACGGATAAACTTAATTTTGCCCTCCCCCCCCGCCCCAGTTTTTAAGTGTGTAAATTGTATTATTAACCCAATATGGCTAACAGTTTTGTATTGTGCATTTTTCGTGCTGATATATCACCTGAATCAGAGATCCACAACTTTTTCAGTAAAGGATCAGTTGGTAAATATTTTAGGCTTTGTGGGCTATATGGTCTCAATCACAGCTACTCAACTTTGCAGCTGTCGTGTGTAAAACTTTATTTACAGAAACAAAAGGCAGGTTAGATTTGGCTCATGCACAGTAGCTAGCTGACTCCTGATTTAATAGTTATTTTAATGGAATTATAATATTCCTCTTTTGAAGTTTTTTCAGTATTACTGAAATAATATGAATTCCATTCCTCATTTTTAGTATTATATTCTTAGAATAAATTTCTGAAATGAAGGTACTGATTCAGAAGGCTTAAGGCTTTCTTACAACTCTGAAAATTAATTGCCAAATTCCTTTAAAGGACATGTTTCAATTTTTATAAATTAAGAGAGTAAAAAAAAAGGAGAATAGACTTTAATTTCACAATGGATAAATATGACATCTAAAACCTTATTAAATATTATTCGAGGACTTGTGGAGGAGGCTATTGATTTGAGTTTTAAAACTTAAGAGGGCATTGATCTATGCTATGAGAAATAATATCTTTTTTTAGGAAATAATCTTTCTTATATTTAAGATTTAGGTATAAGTTATCTAATTTTTTTAACTTTATAAGATCTTAGACATCTTATCTCAGTTTAAATCAATTTAATTCTAATAATATGTTAAGAATTGTATTTTATTTATTTATTTATTTTAACGTTTTATTTATTTTTGAGAGAGAGACAGCGTGAGCAGGGGAGGGTCAGAGAGTGAGGGAGATACAGAATCGGAAGACAGGCTCCAGACTCTGAGCTAGCTGCCAGCACAGAGCCCAACCCAAGGCTTGAACCCATGAATTGTGAGATTATGACCTGAGCTGAAGTTGAACAGTCAACTGACTGAGCCACCCAGGTGCCCCAGTATGTTAGAAATTTTTTTTTGAACAAATTTTTTTTTTTAATTTTTTTAATGTTTTTTCTTTCTAGGAGAGAGAGAGAGACAGCGTGAGCAGGGGAGGGTCAGAGAGAGAGGGAGTCACAGAGTCAGAAACAGGCTCCAGGCTCCGAGCTGGCAGTCAGCACACAGCCCGACACGGGGCTCGAACCCACGAACTGCGAGATCATGACCTAAGCGAAAGTTGGACGCTTAACCAACTAAGCCACCTAGGCGCCCCAGAACAAATTTTTTTCACATTCATTTTTTTTTTTTTTTTTTTTTAAGAGACAGCACAAGCAGGGGAGGGGCAGAGAGAGAGAGAGAGATACAGAATCCTGAGAGGGCCCCAGGCTCCGAGCTGTCAGCACAGAGCCTGATGCCAGGCTTGAACCCACCAACTGCAAGATCATGACCTGAGCCGAAGTTGGAACTTATTTGTACTTTTATTAATCTGGACTTAGCTTAAATTTCTCTGAACATTGTATACCATTTGCAAACTTGCTTAATAGCACAATTCAATTTTAGTGTATTTGATTTTCTTATGTACCTTGACCTCTTGACCAGGGATATTGACATATCTAATAAAGGATGTCTTAGTAAGCACTTAGACATTTTTAATAAACCTAATAAGTTTAACCTTATTAATTTAATCAGATTCCCTTAAGTGTGTACAAGTTGATTGTGAATAAATTTTTATAAGTTTAATATGTCAGACTCTTAAATTCTTGAAAACCTTAAAGGCAAAAGAAAATTACCCATGATGATAAAATGTATTCCCACATATACCTCTAATCGATCATATTAACCTATAGCATTAGTATTAATAGCTTAAGTTTGGTTGACTTTTAAATCATATTTGTACTTATTTTTATAGTTTGCAGTATCACTTCAACAATTAAAGACTCCAGAGTATTGTGATTACTTTAGAATATAGATTACATAATCTTTTATTGTTTGATTTGACATAACAGAATTAATCATAATTTGATACTCAGCACAAAATTGGATTGTTGGCTGTATATTATTAGAAATTTATATGTGCCGTTCCTTTAATGTAGCTCATATTATTTGCTCTTTTGAATGTCATGGACTAATAGTTTTCCACAGAAGAACTTTTTCATTTTTAAGTTTTGTGTGCTTTGGTTTTCAGTGTTAAATTGTCCAACCTGGACAGAGGAGGCCCTTTTAAACTGGAAACTTTGTTATATTACCATTATATCAGGCATATTTGAATATTGTGCCTTCTGAGAACAGTAAGATACTCTAGGCCCTTATTTTTTCTTTACCTCCAGAATTCTTTACCTCAGTTACCTTCCAAGTCATTATGGTTTTTTGATTGTTGTTGGGTTTGTTTTTTTTTTGTTTGTTTTTTTAGAATAGCATTAAAAGTCAAATTCTGAATTCAAGCTGGCTTAGCTGATTTTAGGAGGTTTTAATACCATCCTTTCTTAGTCTAAACTAATTGTACTTCTAGAAGGCAGATTTTCCTTAGGGTTCACCTAGGTATATGTTTGTGATATGCTTGCCTTGAAAACTTGTGAACTGAACTATTAGACTGACTTATTTATTTTTCAAATCACTGGTACAATTTGTTATTACTACTATAGCCCCATTATCATTTCACTGAGTTACTATTTTTTGGGCGTTTTGTGTCATGTTTGTCTATAACCAAACTTCTCAGTTTCACACATGCAATTACTGTAAAAAAAAAAATAAGAAAAGCATTAGTAATTATTGTTTAGTCTGATGGTAACACTGGCCTCTTTTTCCAGATATATTTTTACCATCATGGATCGGTTTGGAGATATATCAGAAGGTGAAGTGGACCATTCTTTCTTTGACAGTGATTTTGAAGAAGCAAAGAAATGTGAAAGTAACTCAGTTTTTGACATGCAAAATGATGACCCTAAAGAGAGAATAGATAAAGATACAGAAAATGTAAACTTGAAATTTGGAATACAAAGAAAAGAAAATGAAATAAAAAAGAAAATTCCTCCAGAAGAATACCCCGTAGAAAATGATAATACGCGAACCAGAAATTCTTTATCATTGACCACTTCAAGGTCAAAAAAATTGTGGGATGCTACAACAGGGCATAAAATGCACTTGCCCATGCCAAGTAGAATTCCCAAAATTGTAAAAGAAGGTGAAGATGATTATTATACAGATGGAGAGGAAAGCAGTGATGATGGGAAAACGCAGCATGTCAGGTCCAAGACAGCTAAACCACCAAATAACCTTAAAAAAAACATAAGTAAAAAGTATTCCAAAAGTAATTCCTCTTCCTCTTCTTCCTCATTGTCCTCCTCATCTTCAAGTTCAGGTACAGATTGTTCAGATACAGGGTCTGATAAATGTATTTCTGATTCATCTCCATCATTAAAGAAACGACTGTCTGGTGTAACCCACTTGTCACCAAAACAGAAATATAAATCAGGAATAAAATCAGCAAGAACACGGCCTTCAAGTACTAAACTAAAAGTCAGTGACTGCACTGAGGAATCTGAAGATACTGTGACAGATGTCACTCCTCTCTCAACTCCAGACATCAGCCCTATTCAGTCTTTTGAACTGGGAGCATCAAATGATCAAAAAGTAAAAATTAAAAGGCAAGAAAACGTGAGTCAAGAAGTATATGGAAATGTTGAGGATTTAAAAAATAATTCAAAATGTTTGAAATCCACCAGAAAGGGAAAAGAAAAAACTGGACCTGATCTCACTCCAAAATCTTCAGTGTTAGATTCCAGTTTAGACCACAGATATAAACAAAAAGTCGTACATGACACAATGGACCTTAATCATCTTTTGAAAGGTAAGTTTCTTTTCTTTTTAAAAGCTGAATGTATTGAACTTAGTTATTAAACTTCATGGTATATTGAGCTTAAATATCAAACACTTAATTTGCATAGATTTTTCTAGATATATTTTATTGTTGGATAATTGATAGTATAGTAACTTTACGAATTATCTTGTTTTACCATAAAAATATCTCAAACATCATTTATACTACTGAGAAGCTAAATTAACTCACTCTAGAAACTACTCCACCCTAAATTTTGTTTTAGTGTCTTACAAAGTCATAAAACCTAGAGGGAACAGCTAGATAAGATAAATGGGAGAGGTGGACCCAGATGTTTTCACATTTGAAAGGGATGTAGGCATAAGATACCATGCGCTTTTGGGGTGTCTGGGTCGCTCAGTCAGTTGAGCGTCTGACTTCGGCTCAGGTCATGATCTCACTGTTCATGGGTTCCAGCCCAGAGCCTGGAGCCTGCTTCAGATTCTGTGTCTCTCTCTTTCTCTGCCCCTTCCCTGTCCATGCTCTGTCTCTGTCTCTCAAAAATAAACATTAAAAAAAAAAAGATACAGTGCACTTTCTTCTTTTAGAAAGGCAACAGCACTAAAGTTTAAATAACCTAACCTGTTGTCTTCACCTCAGAGAAAGTGGTGAGAATGCTGGTAAATGAAAGAACTCAGGGGGCACCTGGGTGGCTTAGTCGGTTAAGTGTCCGACTTTCGCTTAGGTCATGATCTCGTGGTTCATGGGTTTGAGCCCCGCGTCGGGCTCTGTGCTGACTGCCAGCTCAGATCCTGGAGCCTGTTTCAGAGTCTGTGACTCCCTGTCTCTCTGACCCTCCCCTGCTCGCGCTGTCTCTCTCTCCTAGAAATAAATAAAAATTTAAAAAAAAAAAAAAAGAAAGAACTCAGAATGAGCTGTAGGGAACTATTCAGATTTTAAGTTAAATGTTAAAGAGCATTATTTGAAAAAATTACCAAGTTGACAAAAAAGCATACTTCAAGTTTCATTTCCTTTAAGATTGAAAAATTTTTGAAGTGTAATTGACATAGAATATTCTATTAGTTTTAGGTGTATATCCTAATGATTCGATGCTTTTATACATTATGAAATGATCCCCATGATAAGTCTAGCAACAACTTATTTCCTGTGTCTAAGAGTCTTGTTTCATTTTGTTTGTTCATTTGTTTTTTTAGATTCCACATACAAGTGAAAAACAAGTATGGTATTTGTATGACTTATTTCACTTGGCATCATACCCTCTAGGTCCATGTTGCCACAAATGGCAAGATTTCTCTCTCTCTTTATATTCCATTGTATACGTATACCAAATCTTTTTGATCCAATTATCTGTTGGTGGACACTGAGGTTGCTTCCATATCTTGGCTGTGGCAAACAATGCTGCATTGAGCATAAGGGTGTATATTATCTCTTCAAATTGTTTTCATTTTCTTTGGATAAATACCCAAAAGTAGATTGCTGGCTCATAGGGCATTTCTGTTTTTAGTTTTTTGAGGAACCTCTGTCCTGTTTCCTGTATTGGCTGCACCCAGTTTATGTTTCCAACAGTATAAGACGGTTCCCTTTTCTCTACATTCTCACCAACACTTGTTGTTTCTTGTATTGTTGATTTTAGCCATTCTGAAAGGTGATATCTCATTGTGGTTTTGATTTGCATCTCCCTAATGTTAGTTATCTTGAGAATCTTTTTATGTATCTGTTGGCCATCTATATGTCATCTTTGGAAAGCTCTACAGGTCTTGTGTACTTTTTTTTTTAGTTTTTAATTAAAGTATAATATTCAGGGTTATCAGTTTCAGGTGTACAGTGCAATGATTCAGTAAGTCTGTACACTACTCAGTGCTCATCATGATAAGTACTCATAATCCCCTTTATTTCACCCATCCCCCCTCTGGCAACCACTGTTCCTTTTGTATTTAAGAGTCTTTTTGTCTCTTTTTCCTTTGTTTTGTTTCTAAAATTGCACGTATGAATGAAATCATATAGTATTTGTTTTTCTCTTGACTTATTTAGTATTATATCCCCTAGGTCCATCCATGTTGTTGTAAATGGCAAAATTTCATTCTTTTTTATGGATAAGTAGTATTCCATTGTATACATATGTATATAGACACATTCATACACTTACCACGTTTTCTTTATCTATGGATGTTTCCATATCTTGGCTATTGTAAGTAATATTTCAGTAAACATAGGGGTGGATATATCTTTTCAAATTAATGATTTCTATTTTCTTTTGGATAAATATCCAATATTGGAATCACTGGATTACATGGTATTTCTATTTTTAATTTTTTGAGGAACCTGTCATACTGTTTTCCACAGTGGCTGCACCAGTTTGCATCCCCGCCAATAGTGCTTATCTTTTTTATTTTACCCATTCTGACAAGTATGAAGTAATATTTCATTGGGGGTCTATTCAGTTCCTCTACCCATTTTTTTAATTTTTTTTTTTTTTTACGTTTTATTTATTTCTGAGAAAGAGAGACAGCGTGAACAGGGGAGAGTCAGAGAGAGAGGGAGACACAGAATCCGAAACAGGCTCCAGGCTCTGAGCTAGCTGTCAGCACAGAGCCCGACACGGGGCTCGAATTCATGAACCGTGAGATCATGACCTGAGCTGAAGTTGGATGCCTAACCGACTGAGCCACCCAGGCGCCCCTCCTCTACCCATTTTTTAATCAAGCTATTTTTTTATGTTTTTTGAGAGTATAAGTTCTCATGTGTTATGGAAGTTAACTTCTTATCAGGTGTGTGATTCAAATATCTTCTTCCATTCAGTAAGCTGCTTTTTCATTATGTTGATGGTTTTCTTCACTGTGTAAAAGCTTCTTAGTTTGATGTAATCCTGTTTGTTTATTTTAGCTTTTATTATCCTTGCCTTAGGAGACTGATCCAAAAAAATACTGCAAAGACTGATGTCACAGAGCTTACTGCTTGTGTTTTCTTCTAGGAATTACATTCTACAGGTCTTACATTCAAATCTTTAATCCATTTTGAGTTTATTTTTGTATATGGTGTAAGATAGTCCAATTTCATTCTTTTGCGTATAGCTGTCCAGTTTTTCTAACACCATTTATTGAAGAGTCTGTCTTTTCCCCACTCTGTAATCTTGCCATCTTTGTCATAGATTGACTATTGAAGATACCTGGATTCTCCTATTGGTTTCTGCATACAACTGTTTTGATATGTTGTTTTGGCTGAAGTATGTGAAGAAAATCTGGTCTCCCACAGATCTATTTGGAAAATGGAGGAGTATTTTAGTAGCCTTTTCAATTAATTTTAGATATTCTTTGATACCATACTAAAATTCCACAGGTATTAGTTTCTTAAGTGTGAGTTGCAGTGTGAAATTTGAGACTAATTCAGTCTTTACATTATAATTTATTTATCGATAGTACATCTTGAATGTGTCTTTTAACCTTGTATAACAGGAGGTATAGATTATTTGAAAATATTCACTCACTGATCTTACAAATGACATATTTCAGAATACGTTGTATAGAAATTATAGTTGTTAATATCCCCATCAATCAGAAAGCTTTTGAGAACTTTCAAACTCATTTACCAAAAGTATAATTTTTACTAAAACATTTCAGATTTTATTATCACCAAAAAAAATACTCTGAATTGTTTTCCCTGAAGTTGACAGAATTTTATTTATTTATTTATAAGATTTTATTTTATTTTATTTTTTTTAATGTTTTATTTCTAGGAGAGAGAGAGAGAGAGCGTGAGCAGGGGAGGGTCAGAGAGAGAGGGAGTCACAGACTCTGAAACAGGCTCCAGGCTCTGAGCTGGCAGTCAGCACAGAGCCCGGCGCAGGGCTCAAACCCACGAACCGCGAGATCATGACCCAAGCGAAAGTCGGACGCTTAACCGACTAAGCCACCCAGGCGCCCTATAAGATTTTATTTTTTAAGTAAACTCTACACCCAAGATGGGACTCAGACTCACAACCCTGAGATCAAGAGTTACATGCTCTACTGACTACTCAGCCAGCCAGGCATCCCCACAGAATTGTTTTTAAAAGTTAACATTTGTAATGCAAGGGCACTTGGGTAGCTCAGTCGGTTAAGCTTAAACATATGACTTTGGCTCAGGTCATGATCTCACGGTTCGTGGGTTCAAGCCCCACATCAGGCTCTGTGCTGACAGCTCAGAGCCTGAAGCCTGCTTTGGATTCTGTGTCTCCCTCTTTCTCTGCCCCTCCCCTGCTCGTGCTCTTGTCTCTCTCTCTCAAAGATAAATAATTTTTAAAAAGTTAAAAGTAACATTTGTAATGCAAAAATTGGAAGGTAGTTAAAATTAAATCATAAAAATTTCTATGATGAGATAATGCAGACTGCTCACTAATGCTTTGTATTAATAACATGCATCTTAGTATATTTGCTTTTTTTTTCTGTCTTATTCCTAATGCTGCATTATTCTTAATTTCTAATGTGATTTGTGTGTTTAAAAGTAGCAGACTAGGGGCACCCGGGTAACTCAGTTGATTAAGCTTCCGACTTTGGCTTCAGGTCATGATCTGTGGTCCATGAGTTTGAGCCCTGCTTTGGGCTCTGTGTAGTCTCAGAGCCTGCTTCGGTTTCTGTATCTCCCTCTCTCTCTGCCCCTTCCCGACTCATACATGTGTCTGTTTCTGTTGAAAATAAAAAACATTTAAAAGTTTTTAAAGAAAAAAATTTTTATATGTATCAAACTAACATTTGGCATATAAAATATCTCATAAAATTTTCTTAAAAGTTAGGTATAAAAAAAGTGTGAATGTATATTAGAAAGAAATGTTACAGAAGATTAATGAAAATGTATAATATAACTTGTAGGTTTTATAGTGTTTTCTAAATACTGTTTGCTTAAGTTATAATTTGCATTTTAAGGACCCACTGTTGCATTTTTTATTTTTATAAGTACTTTTTGATTCCACAAATTATCAGCACTACTCTATCCTAGGAATTGGTGGGGTGGGGGACACATCCAATAAAAAAGTTTCT